GCTAATTGAAAACTGCTCCTAACACCCTGGGGTACCCAAAAGTAACCAAGAAATATATTTCCTATAAAAAGACGCCGCAACTTCTGTAGCTTTATTCAATCCCATACAAAAAAGTTCTATAGAGCTCTATAGAATTCTATATAGAACTTTATATAGAGTTCTATATAACTCTATAGAGGCCAAAAAATTCTATAGAAATGTTTTATAGAGTTTACGCATTCTATAGAATTTTAATATTTTCTATAGAATGTTGTATTTCACTCTATAGAAAATTAGTTTGTTGCACAATTTATGTATTGGTAACCTACAGTGGATTTTCAATAAATGTGTTATTGCAGAAGCTTGGTTTTGAATATGAAACATGATTATTAAATAATAATAATAATAATAAAATAATAAATAAAACTATTGCTTTTGGCTCATGGTCTGATGTTGAGTAACTAAATAATGCATAGAGTTTAATATGTGCATCATTTTGTCGCAAATAATTATGCTTCATATTTCTGGAAAAATTTTATAGAAATCTATAACATTCTCTTTAGAAGCTGTATAGAAATTCTATAGAAAATTCTATAGACATCTATAACATTTGCTTGAGAAGTTGTATAGGAATTCTATAGAATATCTGTTTGGAAATGTATAACAGATGCATAATTTACAGTATCAATTAGCATGCTCACATTTTAAGTTAAAATGTTAAATTAAATTAAGCATTTAATTTAAACATTTAAGTTAAATTATACATTAAATTAAACATTTAATTAAATGTTAAAAACAGCAAATACTTAGCCTTACACCACATTTTAAAATTGAAATGAAAAATGAATTTAATGCACATATTTGTAACAAATACTTAATTAATCTTACAAAATCATTAACCAAACCACCATTATGGTGACCATTTTAAAGTTACTGTTAGTGTAACTTAAAACCTAACTACTTTAATCATCATTCCAGATGGGAGAGAGACATTGTTTTCAATAACCAGACAATGGATCAGGCCGTGATAGGGGTCCAATTTATGAGTTGAGATGCACGATTTAGTAAATTATTTAGTGTATGAAATGCTATATTATATATACTTTCCTACACAAAACAAATGATTAATTACAGAAGGTTTTATATAAATGCATTTAATAAGAAATATAACTCAACTGGTCTTAAATGGTTTCCCCGGCCCTCTATTAAACATGGTACATTCCTCAACTGGGTGGTGAAATTTGAAAGCTAACGGAACAGTCTTCATCGACATCTCTCTCGCTTGCTGCACCCTTTGTTGTTGTGATGTCCTCCTTTTGTTCAGTAATAATTGGGGTAATAATCGCAAACTGATATTTTATTGAAATGGTTAATACCTGTAGCAATGTCTATGTACTAGTTAAATTGACGTTCTTCCGTTGAAACTCAACCTAGCCTAGGATAGCCGCTAGGCCTATTCTGTTGCCATTTGGAAAAAAAGAAAGAGTCCGCAACATGCCAAGGTCTCTAGGCCTATGCACAGTCAGTATTGTGGTAAGTAAAGAAAACATAATCTCCTTTCGTCCATTAATGTACGCCTTCCACATTACGCCTAGTTACTTATTCTAGCCTAGGTATAATAGCCTAGATATAATTTTGTAGCTAAGTATCAAGTTTAGTTCAGTCAGTTCGTCAGTCAGTGCAGTGGCAGTGTTTCTGTTCGTATACTGTATTGTTTAGGCCAGGCCCTAGGCCTAGGCTAAACCTAAGAATTGAGTAAAAAAAAGTGCAACAGGTCAGGTACGGGCGTTGGGACACAAAAGAAAAATCGTTGTTTTTTTGCCTATACCTAGGCCTAGGCTTAGGCCTCTTCCTTAACCTAGGGCCTACAGTACAAGTACCTAGCCTAGCTAAGCCTAGGCCTAAGTCCTGCCCAACAAGGCAGGAAATTTGAAAAATAAAATGCATTTTTTCTTTTAATATCATTTATTTATTGTATTTTGTGTTAACCAAAAATATTGAGACTTGTTTTTTGCACAGTTCAATATACTTCACTCTTTTTCAAAATGAATGATTGTATAACTGTCAACTGTCTGACCTCAATAATTGGTATTTTAAATTCGACAACCACACAAATCATGCCCAAAAACATCAATAGCTGGAACTTTTTAGTGTACTCATATTCAATACATAGGAAGTTTCAATTATGCTGTAATTAAAGTTTGAAATATTTCAAGCATAATTATATTTTTGTTGACCAAAAAATATGGTATAAATAACTGGGGTGTGAATATTTTTCATGGATGTCCATTGAC